TTTTTTTTTAGTATATCTTTATTGATTTCAGAGAGAGGAAAGGAGAGGGGGAGAGAGAGAGATAGAAACATCAATGATGAGAGCTATTGATCAAGCCCACAACCCAGGCATGTGCCCTGGCCGGGAATCGAACCCTGATCGCCTGGATCCTAGGTTGATGCTCAACTGCTGAGCCACGCCTAGCCGGGCAAAAAATGTCTTTGTAGTTGGAGTTTCAGGATATTAGATCCGAAAGGATGTGAAATTTATGTTACATATTTGTTGCCAGTGATGGCAAAGGAGAGAAAGGTGATTCTAGACATTGGGTCACCTGAATCAGAAGAACAATCTAGGTAGGAGAAACATGGAAAATTAAAAAAACACACCTTCCTTCTTACTGAAGAAAATGAAAATTCAGGAAGAAGGAAAGGTACAGGAAGTAGTGATGAAGAAAATTAGGGGAAATAGCTGGCAGGGCCCTCAGGGAGCTCAAAGACCTTGTGCTGAGCTCAGAGATGCTTGCTGCTTTTGTCTTTTCATTGCAGCTTTTAATAGCAAGGAGAGCTCTACACTTTAGAGTATTTTCTAGCCTCAGAAGTTAACAGAATTTATTACATGAGGAAAAAGAGTCTAAGGGTTATGGGGGTGGGGCAGGGTGTGGGTATTAGAAAAGCTATAGAGATAAAAGAGTAAGTTTTAGTAAAAACAAGTTTAAACAGACAAAATATATAGATAGAATAGGATTATGGGTGATGAATTTGCACCAGAGAAATTATTATACACATAGCATTCTTAGTCACCTAAGGACAAAAATAATATGAGCCCAGGCTGGAATGCCTTTCCATTTCCCCACCCTTTCTGTTAAGTCTCAGAGAACTTCTCTGTTCTCTCAGACACTTTCCCAGATCAGTCCAGGAAGAAACAGACTATATATGTCCCCGGTTAGTATTTTAAAACATTGCTTCCCTCAGTGTTCCTAATGATTTGGGATTGCAATTGATTTTTCACTTTTTTGTATTTCTTACAACATTGAGAGATCTCTAAGTTTCTGTCTGTGGATCCTCAACTCTAATAGGGTAACTATTTCACAAGACATTCTTGATTTATATTTATTCTACTTTTCAATCATCATTTATTTAGTTACATGAATAATTTTAAAAAAATGAATGAATGAGTAAATATTTTCTTACCAGAAAGATTTAATCCCAACCAAGAAAAAGAAAATATACTTAGAACTGGGAGCTTTGTAAATATGTTGAGTATTCTGAAGACACAGGAGGGATCCATCCATATACTCTTAAGTCAAATCACAACAGGCACATCTCTTCCACTTTCTGGACCTTGGATTCTTCATTTGTGGAATAAGAAAATTGAGGAGGTGATCTCCAAGACATTACCAGGCTGTGATTCTAAAAATTATATAAGTCAGTTTTCTAAGGAGGATGATTTTAAGTAGCAGTTTGTACTGTTGGATGGGACCTAGAGATACCTAGAGGGAGGGCTGAGGGTCTGAGGTCAGACTCACAAGCCAGTGCCAGGACTGCCAAGGACAGGTATGGCTGTCATCATTCAGTCCTCACCCTGCAGAACCACACCCTTGTCTAGGCCAATCTGCTCACAGGAACAGGGAGGGCAGGGGCCAGGGTTGGGCATAAAAGGGAGAGCAAATCAGCTGCTGCTTAGACTTGCTTCTGACACAACCGTGTTCACTAGCAACCACACAAACAGCAACCATGGTGCATCTGACTGGTGAGGAGAAGAGTGCCGTTGGCGCCCTGTGGGGCAAGGTGAATGTGGAGGAAGTTGGCGGTGAGGCCCTGGGCAGGTTGGTATCCAGGCATAAGGAGAGTGAATGGAAGCAGGGTGGGTGGGTTTCTGACAGGCACTGACTCCCTCTGTCCTCTGTGCTGCATTCACCTCTCAGGCTGCTGGTGGTCTACCCCTGGACTCAGAGGTTCTTTGACTCCTTTGGGGACCTGTCCTCTGCTTCTGCTGTGATGAGCAATGCTAAAGTGAAGGCCCATGGCAAGAAAGTGCTGAACTCCTTCAGCGAGGGTCTGAAGAATCTCGACAACCTCAAGGGCACCTTTGCTAAGCTGAGTGAACTGCACTGTGACAAGCTGCACGTGGATCCTGAGAACTTCAGGGTGAGTCTCCGGGACATACAATGTTCTCCTTCCTTTTTGTGGTCAAGCTCATGCCATGGGGAGAGGGCATAAACGTCAGGATGCAGTTCAGGATGGGAAAGTTATTCTGGTTGCATCACTATGGATTCCACAAGGACCATTTAATTTCTTTTGCCCTCTTTGCTCACAACCGTTGCTTCCTCTTATTTATCTTTTTTTTCTTTTTGTTCTCTGCAGTGTCTTCTCTTTATTTAAGTAAACTTTATATTTCAAGTGTTTAATTTTAAAAAGTCTCGCTTTAACCTACTTATAGTTATCTAATACTTTCTTTCCTTTATCTCTTCCTTTCAAATGTGTCATGGCTTCTTTGCCTGGTTGTAAAGAATAACTTAACAGTGATAACTTAAGTTCTGGGGAAAGACAAAAAGGGAGGAATGTTGTCAAGTAAAAATTTAGGCTGATGCAGATGGATTTGCATCAATAGTAACATCAAAGATCCAGCTATCTTTCTGCTTATATTCAAAAAACATAGCTTGGGATGAGGCTGGGATATTCTGAGCCCAAGCTGGGTCCATCTGCTGACCATGACCATACCTCTTGTCTCTTCCTCACAGCTCCTGGGCAACGTGCTGGTGTGTGTGCTGGCTCGCAACTTTGGCAAGGAATTTACCCCTCAGGTGCAGGCTGCCTTCCAGAAGGTGGCTGCTGGTGTGGCCACTGCCCTGGCTCACAAATACCACTGAGCTGCTTTTCCTGCTTTCCAGGGAAAGTGCCTTCCACCCCAGAGACCAACTACTGCACATGGGAATTTCATGAAGGGCTTTGACTACCTGGTTTCTGAGTAATAAAAAGCATTTATTCTCATTGCACTGGTGTTTTTAAAATTATTTCTGCGTCTCTCACTCAGATGGGCACCTGGGAGGGCGAGGCATTTAAAACATAAAGAAATGAGGGGTTAGGTCAGACCTCAGGAAAATATATCTATATATTGGATTCCACAAAAAGAGAGGTTGTAAACAGTTAATACATGGGAAGCAGGCCCTGCTGTTTATTCTTTGTTTCTCTCAGAAAAGCATTCAAGTTGAAGCTAGATTTGGGGGTTAGAATTTTTCTATGTTTTATTTACATCAATTTTTTTTTTAGCCTTTCTTATAAATGTCTTCAGTTGTGCAGAACCTCAAATCCACTAAATTATTCTGCTTAAAGAGACTCCTGTCCCTCTAAGACTTTTTTACGTGTTTTGCTGTGCCCATTGCTTTTCCTCCCCATCACTGTTACGCTAGTTCCCCCCATCATCTTAGGCAGATCTGCTTGAAGATGGGATGCAGGGGGAGGTCATTTCACTGCCTCTTCCCTGGAGCCTTGCACAGTCTGTATTTAGAAGAAAGGGCTGCTAATATTGAGATAAAGATGGGCCTGAGGGACTTTTTGTGGTTTGATGTTCACTGCTGCCTTGAAATCCTGTCAGGGGCTTACACCAAAGAAATCCCATTCCCCTCAATGCTTTTTCATTCATATCTAAAAAGTAACTGGAGGGCTCTTCTCTTCCTTGCCTTACCTCTGATGGATTCTCTACCTGTGTAGTCATTAGCATAGTGTCACCATCAGCAACACACGCTCATGTTATTTCTTCATTCAACAGACACTTAAGATAGATGCTGGATTCTTGAAATAAAATATGAACTTGAAATGGTTCTTGTCTACTCCTGTACCCCAAATACTAATCTAATTTGGAAGATATTGAAAGTAAGGCATCTAACAAGGGACTATAAATGAGTGTGTACAAGATTTAATGAGATCAGAGGGTGAAATGAATGATAAGGATGAATAGGTATTAGTCAGAAAGAGAAGGGAAAAAAAATGGAAAGGGTGAATGGCATGCACCAAATCATTGATGAATATAGTAGTAACATGTTTGCTGTTCTAATCATTTCAAGTAAGTAGGAAGGACAATTGAAGCAAAACTGCCTCCAAGGGGATAGGATAAGACAGGACAGGACAGGACAGGGTAGAATAAAATGTGAATATAAATTTTGGTGAACACTGTGGAGGACATATTTAAAATTTAAAAATTATAAACAAAAGAATGCAATCTAGCCATTAAATATATGAGATGCTTGTGCTGCTAATTGACAAGAGAGGTAAAATAGTATAGCAGTTTAGAACATAAGCATTGAAATCAAACAGCCTGGATTAAATACAACATTACCACTTCAAATATGTTTCCTGAACCTCATTTTTCTCACCTTTAAGGTACCCAAAATGATACATGTCTTTCTTATGGTGTGACTGTAAGATTAAATGAGATAAAGTATACAAAGAAGTTTATTGCAACATCTGACACTTCACAGTGCCTGACATGTCTTAACAAATGTAATCTAATAACATTTTGTTATAATTACTATGAATAATAAGGGTAGAATTTGTGTCATTAATTACTATTGATAATGATGTCTAAAAGAGTTGTCTCATGAAAGAGCAAAAGCATAGGCAAGAAATATTATGCCTTAACTGGTACCATTCATGTGTGATTTGTTCATTACTGAACAGCCCCAGCTCAGGGTATCAGCTTCAATTAGGAGGCTGAAACCACACTGTAATTTGAAAAAGACTTTTAACTGAAAGGAATTATTAACTATAACTGGAGATTAGAGAAATGGAAGATTAGTAAATAAGGAGTAAAGAGGATTCTAAAAATATGAGAATAGAAGACATAGGGAGCAGTCATTGCTCCTAGTTCTTAGATAGAGCAATCAGTTAAGAAGCAATCTGGGAGAGGTCTTTCTACTGGGACTGATAGCCAAACCTCTTGAGAGGGAACATGCCTGAGGCTCAACAGAAGTTTAAACAATTTTTGAGGCTGCAAAGTTGCCCAGGGGAAGATGCATAAAAAGCCATCCATTGGGAGGTGCCATGTCAACAGCATTTATTGAGTATCTGCTCCCTGGGGTGCCAGCGGAAGTCACCTATGCAAAGTAATTGAACCTCAGATCTCTCTATAAACTGAAGGTGTAAGAAAAGAAGTGAGTCATGGGAAAATTCCAGAACAACACTGTACAGCAAAGCCACCCAACGGGGTGTAAAGAGTGAGCCATTCACAGGAGGTGCTAGACTGAAACACCCCTGCTGCAAAGCCCTGTGTGCTGCTAGAGGCTGGCACCAGTGGAGCAGAAGGCCTTACCAGTCTGTGCTACAGAGACCGAGATTATTGTAGGATTCTGCCTAGAGGATCACACCAGAACTAGGAAGAGAATCCCCTTCCTCCTCTAGGGCCTTGCCAGCACACTCTACTGACACAACTTAACACTCTGCCAACTGGAAAAGGAGAATTCTTAAGAGTCTACTTCCATTATCATAGAATAGCCCATTAAGAGCGGATTTGGAATTGAGAGTCAATCCATTGATAGCTGACACCCTTGCATGCAGTAGGTGTCTGTCAGTAAAGTGCATAGGATAAGAAAAACCCAACTAGAACTAGCAAACAATAAAGCAGTATACAGAGGCTTATGAAATCAACAACAGCAGTGGGGCAGAATTTACCACTGTTTGGATTGTTTTTCTTTCGAATAAATTTGATAGACTGAGCAAAGAAGAGAAATCTTTTTTGCACTCCCATATGCAAACAGAAAGATTGTTTGGATTACTACTTCCTATTTGGTTTTGTTTAGACAATGACCATGATGATAATTCTGAAATTCAAGACATAGTTGGGTTGGTTATACTTTTCACTTTATAGCAGATTTTCAACATCACTCCAAAAAAGTTTATTTTATTTTATTTTCCCATTTATTTTTTTATCCTTACATTACTATCCCTTTTTATGTACTTAAAAACTGTTTGGGACCAAAGAATTTAATAGATGACAACTCACTAAAAACAATGTACAGTTCCAGTCAGGATGGAGGTGTAGGTAAATGCAGTACTGGGAACCTCCCACAACCACATCAAAATTACAACTACAGAACAGCCATCATTCTGAACCATGTGAAATCTAGCTGAACAGAAGTCCTATAACTAAGGACACAAGGGAAAAGCCACAGAAAGGCTGGTAGGAGGGGCAGAAACACAGAATGCGCTGGCTCTACTCCCACATGTATTGGTTAAAAATTGGGAGGGATCTCTCAGGGGTAGAGGCCCCCTCTAGGAGTGAGAAGCCTCAGCCCCACACCAGAACCCCCAGCCCAGGGTTCTAGTGCTGGGAAGAGTATTCTCAATAACTTCTGGCTGCAGAAACCAATGGGGATTGTGGTTGAGTGAGAAGGAGGGCCCCTGGAGCCCCAAGCATTCTTCCTAAAGGGTCCATGCACTAATTTACTGTGATTCACTCACTCTTAGCTCCATCAATGAGGCAGCAGCTTTTCAGAAATTCACATATATGTATGTGTGTCCGTTTGTGTATAGAAAGATGTACAAGAATCTTCATAGCAGGGCTATTCACTACAGCCAAAAGCTAGAAAAGACCCAAATGTCCACCAGTGATAGCATCAATATATTTATTGTGGAATATACATAAAATGAAATAACATACACAAATTAAAAAATCAACTACAGTTACAGCAACAACGTGAATGCAATTCACAAATATTATGTTACACAGATAAGTCAGACACAAAGGGCATGGTAATATTCATATATATTTTTTTAATTTTAAAAAGGGAAAATTAATCAATCATGATAGACAAAATGAGACAAATCAGGATAGTGGTTTACTTTGGAGAGAATGAGGCTAATGACAGGGAGCACCGGGGGCTCTTCTGGGAAACTTCTAATATCCTACTTCCTGATCTGGGTTGTTGTTCCAGGGGTGCACTCTTTTGAAATTATTAGTTGAGCTCTACACTTATGATTTATTTACATTTCTAGATGAATATTATACTTTAAATATTTAAAAACAAAATTAAACAATGGAAAAAGCCAGATTATTTCTTTGTATTTCAAGGAATATCTATGGACTGAGGTATTAACACATTCTTAAATGACTTGAATTAAATAGGCTTGAAATTTCAACATAACATCACAATGTCTCTTTCTAAAGACCTTACTGATGCTATATAATAACAGTTTTTGTTTTTTCTGGTAAAACTATTCTTCACTATATGAGCATCAGAGAATGATGGAAAAGAAAGATATGGTAATTATCGATGAAGGCCTTGGAGAACAATTTAAACCTGGAGGCTAGCAGTCTGAGTTTTGGTACTTATTTTCTTAGAAAAATCCCTACAAGTTTTTTTATCTTGAAAATGAGAGAACTGAATGAGATGTTATTGGTCTACTATGTAATTTTTCTGGGGACAATTTAAAATATGTATCACACTTTAAGTATTTATACAAAAGAACTTAAATACATATTTTAGTATCATTAAAGAGAGATTTAGTTGCCACCTTCTTTGTACTTTTCTGCTTGGTTTTCATCTTTCATTTAGTGTTTATTATTTTATTATATCTTTTATATCTTTTTTTTTTAAATTTAAGTTGTCTCACCTTTCCTTAGATACAAGAAAGTATTAAAATAAACCAGGTAAACTCCCTTGAGAGAGATTATTTATGTCATAGTTTAATTAAATCATACAAATCTTAAGGAAAATGTATTAAATACCCCAACGGCCACAGTTAAACAGATGCACCATGAAATACATTTATCATGCTTCTAAATTATGGATAACAATGTTTCAATATTTCAATCGTGGTGGCAGTATTATTTATAGATATTGTATACAATATAAGTATATAAATATATAATAAATAATATATAAATACATTTTAAAAGATATACAATATAGAGCTCACTCACAAAATTAATAATCATAACCCTCATGCAAACTGAGATTTTAAGACTTCTCCAGGTTTGTGGTGAATAAATTGTATCCAGGGTTTAGCATGTCATAACTTCTGAGACACACAGTTCTTTACAGAGGTTCTTAGCTCTTTAGCCATGCCCAAACCCCTTAACTGTGAGGCCTCACTTAAGCTTAACCAGGTCTAAAGCTTTGTGCTTCTTTGAAGAAAGAGGAAAGAATCAATGGACTGTTTCTGCCCCCTGCTGGTGGGCAGATGAGACCATTAGAGGAATTATCTATCCAAGAATGGTAATATAATTAATTAATTGTTCAAGGCAGTTCTTCTGTGGGTGTCATTAAATAATTATGCTGAAGAGCAAGCAAAAACCTGGACTGTCTTGAAAAACACACCAAGGGTTTTTATTCAATATAATTATAAAAGACACTGACTTTCAGACCCAACACTCTTCTATGCCTTTAGGGTAAAGCATAGATAAATATAGGGTAAGCATAGATATTATCCTTACATATTGGTCATTAGCCATCTAATCTGAAAAAGGTAACACGTAATCACATAGGGCATCATTTCTAAGGGAATGATGACTGGACACGAAGATCAGTTTGGATTGGAAAGAATAAAAAAAAAGTCCCCTGAAAGCATGATCTGTTTAATTCGATCACAGAAGTGCTTTCTAAATGCACATTCTGGAATTCCAGGCAAATCACACAGAGGGAATACCACAATCCTACCACGGCCCCAGACTCAAACTCACCCCTGCATATTCTGTTAATTATTTATTTTATGCCAGGCATTATTCTGATTGCTACGCATTCAGAAAATTATTACGCACAGTTACTTTGAGGTGGCATAACACAGCATGATGTTTGGGGAAATGATGGGCCTTTTATTTTTTTCTCTCTTTTTTAGTGCAGGTGAAGCATGTAGTGCATCTGACATATTTGAACACTTTCCTCTTGAAGTCTTCATAGATTGGTCTCATCAACACTATGGTCTCCTGAATCCCATCCTACTTCTTAAAGTAGAACTTAAAGAAGTATCCAACATTTATTGATCTTCTGTTGCTAAAAGGTTGATAGCCTCTGTGGCAGCACCATTAATACCTGTGGCTAGTCCGAGGAAGCCTGAATGAGAGTATGTGCTTTTAATGTATGCCTACATCCTTTGATTCTTTTATCATCTATCCCAGGGCTTTGCCAACGTGTCTGGGTCAAGCTAAGAATGATAGAAACCATATTTGAATTCTGAGTGTTGTGTCCAATGTCATCAAGGATTCCTAGGGCAGCATGTTTTATATGTCAAGTAAACCTTATATTCGATGACGTGAGATTGATAGCGTGTGTGCAGCAAGGATCATATGTGTGCTTTAATATATGAGTGTTTAGGTCTTACGGTATTTTTACAATGTATTTGCATTTACCTTGTTTTTGTATGGCTGTAACTGTGCAACTTTTAACCCATAGATTAGTTCATTAATTCAACAATTATTTAATAAATACCTGCTCTATGCTAAATCTCATTTTGCATGTCAATGAGCAAAAACAAGACATGGCTCCTGTTCTTCTAGAGCTTCCAATAAATCTAATGGACAATCAGCATATAAGTAGTATAAATACAAATCAGAGTGTTCCAATGAGAGCAACTTATTTGAGAGGATGGGAGATAAAAATGATGGTGGGGTTACAAAAATCCCTCTGAGGAAGCAGCATTGCACTGAAACCTGAATGATGAAAGGAGCTTTTATGCAAACATTTGGAGTAGATAATTCTAAGCAGAGAGAAGATGAAGGGCAAAAATCCTGAGACAGGAACACTCATAATTTGTTTTCAGGAAGAGAAAGATGCCTAGAGATTAGGGAGTGAAGGCAACGGTGATTTACAATGTAGGAGAGGTAGATCAACCAGGTCATATAAAGATTTCTGACCATGATAAATAATTTATATTTTAAGAGCAATAAAAGTCCATCAGATTTTTTTTCAACAAGGACTTATGTGATTTATTAGGTGCTTGCAGAAAAGCAGTCCAGTTTCTCTGGGGTGAAAATCTTTTTAGGGAGCAAGTAAAAAAACAATGGCACTAGCTACTAAATCAATACAATTGTCAAGAAGCAGATGATGATGTTATGAACTGACATCAGCAGTTATAGGTAAAAAGTGAGCAGATTCATGGTATGTTTTAGGATGTAAGTTATAAATATTGATGAAGGATCTAATAAGAAGAATGGGGAAGAACAGCAAGGAATCAAGAATGGCTCTCAAGAGTTTCCTTAAGCAATTGTATGATTGGTGGAGTTATGACATTAGGAGGAAATGGAGAGAGAATAGATTTCTGAGGAAAATCAAATATTTTATTGCCATAATTTTAACTTTTAGATTAAATACCCAGATGGAGATATCAAGTGGGCAGTTGAATCCATGAGTATGTGCTCGGAGGAGAGGTAAGGTCATAGAGGTGCAAATTCTAAGCTACAGTAATGAGTAAAAGTTGATACTCTCTTCACTGTCTGGAAACTTAAAATTCCATGTGTAACAGAGAAAGTCAAATAACTAGGCTAATCAATGTCAAATTATAACTGGAGTAAATTTTATAAAGATAAACATATTTCCAAAATAGTAAATATATGGAGAGCATGTTTTAGTTAAGGGGCTTCCTAAGAAGTGATGGTTGTGACTCAGAGGGAAAAATTTAAGATGTTTTACAAATAGGAAGCAGAGGTTGAGGATTTTATTCTCAACCCCTGTCTCCTCCTTGTGAAAGAACATCTTAGGCAGAGAGAACACCAGGAGAAAAATCTCATAAAAGAAGGAAAATCGAAATTTTGAGAAATAAGAGAAGTGTTCAAAAGCTGACCAAATTTTCTTTAAAGGGCAAAGAAATTCCATTTAATGGAGGAAATGCATTAAAATGGTGAGCTGAGTTATCTAATGTTGACAGGGACAAAAGATACATTCAGAAGATTAGCCCGAGGAGCTGGCTGGTGGGATAACACGACAAACATGAAGAACAGATCACAAAGGCAAGCTGGAATCTGAAGCTACTTTAACACATTGAAATAATTAAGTCAAATGTGAAAGTCAGTATGGACTTTAAAACACCTGTCTACATTACAAGAGCCTTTAAATCTTTTGTGAAGACTCCCAGGGCCAGAGCTTAAGTCAGGCAGGAAAACTATGTGAGGAAGAAGCCAATCCTTGCTGCTGCAATGATGCTTTTAAAATTCTAGACAGCTATTTGACTTTGGTCTTCTGATCTCTGGAATGGCAGATTCTAATGAAGAGAAAACAATTGCTCAGTCTGTTCCATAAATGCATATTAAATGAGTACTCAGCATACCCGCTGAATGAATGAATAAGTGCATAGGATACACTGGGCTGATGTCAGAGAGTGTGTGTCTTCAACCTAAGTCTCTGTGCCACCGAGGCACAGATGATTCTAATATCTCAGAGGGACAGTGCTCCTGTGGGAAATCATTCACCAAGGTCTCGTGTATAAATATCCCTCTCTGTCTATCACCAAGGAAAGAAAAGTAATCGTTGGCTATGTCATCTGGAGTGCGATAAAACAGGAACATCTTCACTAAATACTATTTGGAGGAAAAATACACTTGGAGACAGCACAAAGTAGGAAATGATGGGTATGAAATGACTATTTAAATGCACTTAGAATATTAAAGCTCAAAGATTATTCTTAAATGCTTGATGAACTGCAGGGAGGAGACAAAGAATTATTTTTAGAACATCCGCTTTTAATTTTACACTTACGACGTCTCACCAGCATCCTTGTGAAAATGTCCCAGGCATCATATCTTTTCTGAGAATTAGTTTTCTACGGTAGACTATTTGTTTTTACATGTGGCTTCCAAAGACAGCTTTAAACCCTGTCAGTGGATGAATAATGACTCTTAAATGACTTCAGAAAAAGACCCTTCTCTTCTACACAGCAAACAATATGCCTCTAAAAAACAGAGTTGCTTGGCTATATTTTGTCAAGTGAGTTAACTTTTTAGTGTAATGCTGTTTACCTCAAAATTCCATCCAGGTCATCTGAAATTGGAGCATTCCCTTTGAAATATACACTCTTGCTGCCTGGAAGATGTATTTCAGTTCCAGAATGATTGCTTCAGTGAGCCCTAGCATGAATTTCTCCTCCTTCCATCTCACTGGATTTTCTGGCCTGGAGCAACAATATCCTTGGCTCTCCATCCCCTTCTCCACCATCTGTGCCATGGTGCTCCTGGGCAACTGCCTGGTGCTGCAGGTGATCCGGACAGAGCCGAGCCTGCACCAGCCCATGTTCTACTTCCTGGCCTTGCTGGCCCTCACGGACCTGTGCATGGGGCTGTCCACAGTGCACACGGTGCTGGGGATCCTGTGGGGGCTCAGCCAGGAGGTCGGCCTGGATGCCTGCATTGCCCAGGCCTATTTCGTCCATGGTCTCTCCTGCACAGAGTCTGGGGTTCTTCTTGCCATGGCTTTTGATNGTCCTTCATGGAGTCCTCTGTCCTTCTTGCTATGGCCTTTGATCGCTACATCGCCATTTGCCACCCACTACGCTACTCCTCCATCCTAACTAATGACAAAATCATAAAAATTGGGGTGGCGATTTTATGTAGGAGTACATTACTCATACCTCCGGCCATCATTCGCCTGAAGTTCTTAAATTACTGCCGCCCCCGCATCCTGTCTCACTCTTTCTGCCTGCACCAGGACCTCCTCCATCTAGCTTGCTCAGACATCCGCTTCAATAGCTACTACGCCCTGATGCTGGTCGTTTGCACACTATTGTTGGATGCTGTTCTTATCCTTGTGTCCTATGTCCTGATTCTTAAATCAGTCCTGGCAGTTGCCTCTCAGGAGGAGCGGCGTAAGTCATTTCAGGCCTGCATCTCCCACATCTGTGCTATCCTCGTGTTCTACATCCCTGTGGTCAGCTTGACCATGGTGCACCGCTTTGGCAGGCATCTCCCCCCGTGGTCCATGTCCTCATGGGCAACATCTACATTCTTTTCCCACCTTTCATGAACCCCATCATCTACAGTGTCAAGACTCAGCAGATTCGCAGCAGAATACTCAGACTCTTTTCTCTGAAAAGATATTGACTTATTCAGGCCCCTTAAAAAATAAAAAGAGACAATAATAGTAAGTACACAAAAATCAGTTTTGTTAGAAATACAGCTTTCTTCCTGAGTCCATGGTTCTTGATTTTAAACACACTTTAAATGTGGTCAGAAAATCATCTACAAGCCCGTTCCATTTTAGCCTTTGTCCTGGAAATGAGTTGTTCGTGGGAGATTCTGCCTGAAATATTCCATAAACCCTATCAACTTGATTTGTGCAAAACAAAACTTTTGTAGGTTATTCTATTAGTATAATCAATATTCAAGAAAGTATAAAAGTAGTTAAGTGCCCAAAATAGATTTTCAAGTATTTTCTTTGCAGTATAACAAAGCTAAATTTAAACCTTACGTCTTCCAGTTTCAAAACTGGATAACTTTAAGTTTTTTTAATTTATTGAGATTCAGTTAATTAATCTCCAAAATGGGTAAATATTAAACTCATGGGAATATTGTGATAACTATATGGACCATAATTGCCCAATAATTTTTTCTAAAATGATGGAAATATTCTACAATATAGAATAAATAGCTATATGTGGCCACTGAGCACTTGAAATATACATAGGACAATCAGGCAACTCCTTTTAAAATTCCTGTTAACTGTAGTTATTTTATATTTAAATATTAAAAGACCATGGTATTGGACAGTGCAAGTATACAATATAAAAAGAACATATAATCAAATATGACTCATGATTCAACTTTTACCACATCTACTTTAAATTTAAATTCTTACTTTTTGTTACATATGTGGACTCCACTGCCCTTTACCTGGAAGTGGATTTTGCTCTGAATCCTTTGCCTTTAAATTCAAACAGGGAAATGTCCTGAACAGATGAAACTGTATGTTTATGACAGAATGCGTTCAAGAAAAAAAAGATTCAGTTAAGTGCCTGTAGGGATAAAAAGAAAATAATTGCTTCAATCTTCCTATAATCTCTTAGGTACATAAGGTGGAAACTGTTAACACTCAACAGAGTAATACATTAAAGTAATTTTACACCAAGAAAGCAAGTATATCTTAATATTTTTAGATATAAATCTAACCATGCATTTTAAACTTTCATTTAAAATAATCTGTGTTCATGTCTTTTTCTCCTTTTTATACTTCATTCAATTAAGTAGTCTCTGCTTATTGACTCTGTTTAAAAAAATAAAAATAATGGCTTAATTTCCAATAGCTTAAGCCTCAAAATGTGAAGAACAGTTTCTGGACAGAATAAAGTATCCTGGCCAGAAATTAAAATGTAAAATTATCCACAGGATAATAAATTAAGACTCCGGGTTAGAATAGGGGGTTAATTAGAAGAAAAGAGTGAATTTTCTGATATCAGTGAGGAGCTAGTCTACTTTCTGTCAAAGCTACCAGAGCTGAAGACTATAAGGTAGGGTTTAAGGAAGGGATGAAAAATAACTGTGTGCTAATTGCTAATTTAATGTAATTTATTCTCTTGCTACAGAATCAAAATTACTGTAACCAATTAGGTTAATACAAATGTCAGGTTTGTACTAATTGCCCTAATGACAATGAATATATGCATGGTCCATATTGGCAGACTGTAACACAGCCAGTTTGACAAGTTTTGTATGGTCCAGTTTTAGAACGAAAGCAGCAGTTAGCTGTTGATTCTGTAGAGGCCATGTAGGTGTCTCATAGATAATCTTTTGGCACATGTTGCTCACTAACCTGACAAGTTCCATTCTATGCCTTGATACTGAATAATCACTTCTTCCCAGAGCTGACCCATTCTTGGGAAAGCAGGGGCCTGTACAATAGCAGGATATATTTTCCAGCTGCCAGTAATGATGGGAGTGCCAACATGAACTTACTCCGAGTTAAAGGATTAGAGTTATACATCCAACACACCTAAGTGGTTGGTCTGAGGGTCATGTTTAATATGGTGAGTGGAAGGGTTCATTTGAGAACTTTATACTCTGAGTATAAAGATTATGGTAACTTATAGAACCAACATAGTTGGAAATAATGGCTGTGAAAAATAGGTGGGAAGATATCTGGCATATTCTCAGAAATCACAGTTAATGTAGAACTCTATAGTTATACTAGGATGATGAGATTTGTGGAGTTCTTCAGAATGTTTAAAATTCATGACCAAATGGCGGAGGTCAACCAAAGGATGGAAAATGAGTAAAGAAAGCTGATGAAAGTAAATTTCCTATGATTACTGGGTTTTACACAGAAAGAAAGAGGTTTAGAAAGATTTTACTTTTGGTTGTTTTGTAAAGGCATCTATCTTGGGGTGATAACTTATAAAATACCTATACCTCTACCTAGGGAGGAAAGGCCATTTCAGAGTCATCAACTCAGGCCCATGACAGGTGTGAAAAGCACCATCTGGCACTTCACAGCCTTTTCAGAAACTAGGCAAGGGCATTCTTCTGTAGTAGATTCCAGAGAGCCAGTTTTATGAAATAAAGAACTTGTTATCCATGAATTTCGTCCTGGCACTGCTGTCAGACTAGTGGCCTGAAGAGCCAGTGAGAAACATGACCTTGTAGGAGTTGACCAGACCTTGTTATGAGACCTGTAAGGCTACTAACCAGCTTGAGTGGGAAACACTACTGAAGCAACGCAGTGAGCTTAGGGAAACACACATTCTCCTCTTTTGGGTTTTGTTATAGGCAGACTGTCATGCCACTGTACACTGCTTCCTTAAGTAAAGTCACAATAATAAGGAGAAAGCTAGAGAATATTGCTCGGGGTGTGGTAACAGAGTAGGATGCTGGAAATCACAAAGTCTAGTCTCAGTTGGATTTACCTCCACATCCAAAAGCTAAGGTCCAGAATGGGAAAGATAGGTGATTCTTGGAAGTGAGGAAACAAGCTTTTTGTAAAAAAGAATCCACTCATAATAAACCCACAAGTAGATGCTCATGGTACACTATACTGACTAATTTTCCTAGGTCTATCAAAGCTTTATCATTAAATAGACTCAGAAGATTTTTCTACCAGAGGCTGTGCCCTTGCTCCCTAGGATATTTGTGACCACTTTTTGAAAAAGGGAGAATCTGCTAGAGTAATGAACAGAGGCCAAAACACACCCATTTTCTAGAATGATTCTATTGGAAATTTAAAAAAATAATAATAATACCAACCCAGCCAAGCACTCCTATGCAGAGGTAACTGGTATCCTACAGCTTTTCCACTAAATGTATGGCTTCTGGTCCTATATCCTCAGCATCATCAGGCAGCTTAAAGAAATGCAGAATCTTGAGCTCCAGTCCAGCCTTACTGAATCAGAATCTATGTTAGTTTTGGGGATGCTGCTGGTGTTCTCTTTCTTGTTCAGAGTGTTTGTTGTAAGCTTTTGTTGATTGTGTGCCAATTAATCAATCTGTATTTTTATTTATGCAAGTTTTGGTCCTTAATTTAACAGTAAAATAAAATTTTAGGAATATTAAAGAGTCAATTTACATGTAAACCTGGCAGATTGCAAATGTTTTATTTCTTCTACTTTCTGTAATTCACTAAAATTATAGTTGTACACAAAGAGGTATTGTGAGAGGGAATGATAGTGGTGTTTATTAAAACAAATTTTATAAAGATAGAAATCTCACATATTATTCTCAAAAAGCAAAACAATATAGATGAATATGAATCTGGGGTATCTATAGATGGAATACTAATGAGAAAAAAAATGTTCAGCACAGAACAATCTTGGAAAAACTCATGGATGGGACTGAGCATGGTAGAAAAGGTAAACATTCATGTGAGATTTCCTAACTAAAGTATTCAGAAACCCACTCCTTTTTTAGTCTGGCAAAAACAATAATAATATCTTTAGAAACTGAACAAATTATAGAGGGAAAGAAAGCAAGGGTGCCTCTCCCTGAGGTCTGTGTACCAGACCAGCTCCAGGCTCTTGCTTTCTATGAGAGAAATGCAATTCAGTCCTCTGGAGGCTGAAAATATTGGTCTTGGGAGATGCCTAAAAGGAGGTATAAATAGAGAGTTCCAGGTTCCTATTTGTGTTTTGGACAACTCCTTGCTTTTATTTTTTTCTCTACTCAGCCAGTTAAATACTTCAGGATCCTAGAAAATATAGGTAAGTAGACTGAGTTATGCTCAGTGAAGATTGTAGAAAAAGACACCAGAAAAAAAATTCAGGAAACTGTAGAAGCTGCTCATTCTTTCTGGAACTGAATCATTTGCATTTTCCTTAACCCTGACAGATGATGTATTGGATGTGACTTTAACTCTGAACTTGACCTGCAATTGTAGTCTATCTTTGTGCTCTTTTATTAAGTGGGTCCTCTGCAAAGAGCACAAATACATGTATTTTTCCGTTTAGAACATGTTAATGCAATGGCCATTTTTCTTTGACACTCAGATCTGAATGTTGTGCTTGGATGCACTGAACTTTTATTACAGTAGTTAAAAACAAGGCTCAGTTATTAAACAAGTTTAATAGTTAAAAATAATGTGTGTATATATACACATATATATAAATATATGCATTATTTTTCTCCATAGAATTTACTAATTTACTGATTATTCATTATATATCAGGTGCTGGGCTAGGTGCATATGAGGAAGCTGAAACTCAGAGATTTTAACTCTTTCCTCAAGACAAAAATGTTACATTGGTGAGGGGGCAAGAATACTCTGTTTCTAAGCCCAAGTGCCTAAGTGTCCATCACTATGTTAAACTTCCTGTACCTTGTAAAAATGAAGTGATAATTTTGGGGTGAAAATTACCAGTTGGTACCATGTGCTCAGTATAGGAAGACAAATCAAAGCCTGTATGGATACCTTAAACCAGTTCAGTCTATGTGTAGTGGCTTATATGCCTAAAGTCCAGAAAATGAAACTTGTTAGTCTTAGTGATGGTAATTTTGTTAGTGCTCTAATTTCACATGTTTTTGGTGATAGAAACATATCTGGTTTATGTAGCAAGCATCCTAAAATGCTAACTTCAGAATTGCTGCACATTTGTAATTGGTGTTTGTTTTCAGGTATTTTA